GGGTGGTGTGGTTCCATGACTGGAAAGTGAACCTGGGCTACTGAAGCAGTGAGAGCACCAAACTTTAACCACTAGGCCCTCAGGACCAGCTCAGTCTGAACTTTTTAATCAGGGGATATTTACTATCAGGAAAATTTGAGAAACACCACAATGGAAAAAAGACCAGATAAAAGAAAGATCTCTCTCTCTCTCTCTCTCCCCCTCTATTTCTATTTACAAATCTTACCCTACAGTGCTTGGAAAAAAATAGCCAATAGCCACTCATTGAGTTTCATCCAGACCCCCATCTTTAAGTGAGGACAAAGACAAAACAACCATCCCTCAATTGGAAAGCCTTTGTCTGTGTGCTAATCCTGACAAAAATCCCCAAATTCCCTAAGGAATCAAATACCCCTCGCCCCCTCCCCTCAACTATGATGCTCATCTGTCAGAATCACACTGCAATCAAATCCCAAAAGTTGAAATGGGGTTAATATGCCACCCTGAACAATTCTGTTTCTAGAGCCTGAAAGGTGCATAGCCTTTACGGGACCTTGAACTCCCTGAACTCCGAAAATACCAGGAGTTGGAGAATCTCAGCTTTCTTTTGTGTTGGTGTCATTCTCAGGAAAGCTGAGATGGAGAATAACTGAGTCTTGATGGTATCATTTGAGCCCTTGGATCCAGCTGCACCTGAGACACTTCCAGACTTTTCCAGTATTCTGAAGATACTTCCAGACTTTTTAATTACATGAACCCATAAAATCCCTTTTTAACTGAAGTCCCTTTGATTTGGATTTTCAGTCACTTGTAACCAAAAGATTTCTGGCTGATTCACGGATCTGAGATCAGATGAGTTAGACTTTAGTACATACCCTTCCAGCTTTCTCTCCTTGGGCCTAAACAGAGTTCAGTGTAAAAGTAAGAACACAGTTTATTGGGGCAATGCCTCCACGGGGCTAAGGATGAATCCCAAGCAGAACTGGTCTGTGTAAGCTAGCCAAAGGCACAAAGGGGGTCACTTCAGGATCCGGATGCTCATTTTCCGCTCGACGTCCATCTTCTCTAAGGACTGGGGGGAGATGGGAGGTCAAGAGGCTTGAATTCCAACCCTCTATGCTTCCAACCTCCTCTCCCATCCCCAAGGCCCCATGGTTCCCTGAGAACCCCTCTCTTTCTGCCCTCCTCCTCCAACTTCATTTCCCACATCAGTTTGTCCTAGGGACTCCTGCTCTCAACTCCCCAGGCCCCAGGGACATTCTGACCTTGGCAAACTCCAGGAAGGACACAGCCCCATCTCCATCTTCATCAGCCTCCTGCACCGTGCGGTCGGCGATGCTCTCCAACTGCTCTTCTGTCACCTGTACCCCGACCATCAGCCGGAGCACCTGGGAGGTGGGGGAGAGACAGCCATAAAGAGGAGGCACAGAGGCGACTAGCAACATCACCCAAACCTTGCCAACCTCACCGCAAAAGTTATTACCAATTTCACAATCTATCCCTCATCCAGTTTTCACCCCATCCCAATCACTTCCCACTATATCCCCCAGTAATTTCCCCTACTGCTTCTCCATCCAATCCCCCATCTGTCCCTTACTATCCCACACACTCCTCAACAATATACCCAAACTCATTACCCAACCCCAAACCTTAGAACCCAACCTCCATCCATCCGCCACCCCATTCTTCACCTCATCCTCCAACTACCCCCAATTCCATCCTCCACTTCATCACATCTACTCCAGAGTTTCTCAATCTCAGCACTACTAACATTTGGGATAGAAAACTCCTTGCTGTGGAGGGAAGGGGGGCTGTCTTGGGTACTGTAAGATGTCTGGCAGCACTCTTGACCTCTGCCCTGTAGACACCAAGTAGTACCACCCCCTCCCTCAGTTGTGACAGCCAAAAATGTCTCTAGATATTGCCAATGTCATTCCAGGGGCAGAATCACCCCCAGTTGAGAACCAACCTCATAGCTAACTGTTCCCCACCCCATTCCCAACTAACCCAAACTTCAACCCCACCCATTCCCCTTTCCCACCCAATGCCCCAATTATCTGCATCCCCTACCCACCAATCATCCACCCCATCCCCCACGACCACCCCATTCAACCACCCCACCCTACACACATCACATCTCTTGCCCTCGCGATCTTCTAACCTGTAGCATCTCGAGCCTGGAGATCTTTCCATCTCGATCCAGGTCATATAGTTGAAATGCAACTGGGAAGAGAATGGAGGGGGAAAAGGAAGGTGGGTCTTCCCTGGTTTTCTTCCAGCGGAAGGTCACCCTGGAGGAGGGCTAGAGGTCATCAACAGGCTCACAAAAGGAATGGGAGGTGCCTGGGGCCCCTCACTGGTTTGGTAAATCCAGGACCTCACTTGGGGAGGGTCCCTACAAACTCACAGCGAAGTTTGTTCATTCTGCTGTTGAGGGGTTCAGGTTCCTTGGGGTCCCGGAGTGCTGCATCCTCATCATCTACAGGTCGAAAATGAGCCATGACTCTGACAAAGCCTGGGAAATCCACTTGCAGACTCCTGGCGGGGGTGGAATGGAGCAGAGCCAGTGGTCACCTTGGCCCTCCCTTTGCCTCCGTCCCTAACCTCCTCCCTACTTCCCCTCACATAAGCTTTTCCCTCCACCCCCAGGGAGGCCTCACCCATCAGGGAAGAAGCTGTCTATAATGCGGTCTCCCAAGGGGTTCACGGCCAGCGCCCCAATCTGCTGCAGATCCATGCGGCTGGAAAGTCAAAGTTCAAATGCAGGTAGGGCAAAGACGAAGACGGAGAGTCAAAAAGGAGAATGGGGTCAGAGAGACAGAGGTGGGAGGTCACAGGGTCAGCTCACCTCAGGTAGCCCTTCTTGTTCCTGTCCAGGGCCCGAAACCGGTGGTAGAGGCGGAGCAGACTGGCCTGAGAGACTGCGGGACGGAAGGAAGGCGGAGAGGTGACCTGCCAAGGAGGCTTGGACGCGACTGGACCGAGCGCCCGGGGCGCGCTCCAGAAACCCTCCCCGGCGGCCTGGGAGGTGGGCGGGGTGGAGGGGGCTTCTGGGAGAGACCGGGGACCCGGGGGCAGAGCAGGCGGGGTTGGAGGGGGCGTGACGAGTCCCCGGAGGCTCCCCCCGGGAGACCAAGGGACCAAAGCCAACCTCTCCATCCACCATCCGGCTCTGCGGTCAGCCCGATCCGGGTTGGAGGGCACCTGGATTAACCCGGCCCAAGCCGGGGAACCGCGACCCACCTCAAACTTGCACGCGCGGACCCTCGGTTAACGCGCCCCTAGCGCTGCGATCCCAGCCCCTCGGACCTTCTAGGGTCGCCCATCCCTCGTCCCACCGCCTACTCGGGGACGCCCGGCTGGAGTCCCTGAGTTAAGCCCCTCGGCCCAGCCCCGGGCGCCCGCCCCGGCGCACTCACAGCCCGTCTCGCGCCGGATGCTGTCGCCGTCGGGAATGCGCGCGGCGTGGGAGCTGCGCGAGCCCATGGCGCCGCCGCGGCCGGAGGGAGCGCGAGTCGCCGCGACCAGGCGCGCTGCTCCCGCCCCGACGCGCGGCCGGCCCCTGGTCCCGGGGCGAAGGGCACCGGCCTGGCGGGAAGCCAGGCTCGTGAACCCCGGCGTTCCTCGCCTCCCACCCGCCACCCGGGCGACTGGAGAACAATGCCCAGGGCGGCGCGCTCAGAGGGGCGGCGCGAACCACGGGGTGTTTCTGCGCGAGTCCCGGGTCGGCGCGGGCAGAGCCTGGGCGAGGCCGGCCCCGCCTGCCCCCGCCCTCCCTCGGGTCCGCGTTCTCACGCTCGGCCGGGACACCCGCCCCACCAGTTCCGGCAGGGCCCGGCCTCCCGCCCCGGGGATCCCCCCTGCTCCCGCCGAGTAAGGCTGCGAGGTCCCCACCTTCTTCATCTGGGCACAGAATCCCAGTCCTTCTGGGAAAGGATGGTGGGTGGGGAGGGGACGCGTTCATCCCCATCCCGGATGGCGCCACCTTGGGGCCCCTCCCCAGGCAGGAGGCCGGGAAGGAGAGGCCTGGAAGGGCTCCCGAAGAGGGGTGAAGTGGGGAGGGTCGTGAGGCTAGAGAAAGGGCTGGGTAAGTGGAAAGAGCACTAGGTCTGGAGGACGTGAACTGGAATCTAGCCATACGGCTAACTCTGGACAAGTCTGTCTGTCTTGGTTTCATCTCTTTTGTTTGGTCCACACAGTGTTATTGTTGTTGTATAATTGAAACAATGCTTAAAAATCAGGAGATTTAACAAAAAATCCAGATTCCTGGCGTCTCCTGAGAAATCAGAAGTTCTGGGCCGGCCCCGTGGCTTGGTGGTTAAGTGCGTGCGCTCTGCTGCTGGCGGCCCGGGTTCGGATCCCGGGCGCGCACCGACACACCGCTTCTCCGACCACGCTGAGGCGGCGTCCCACATACAGCAACTAGAAGAATGTGCAGCTATGACATACAACTATCTACTGGGGCTTTGGGGGGAAAAATAAATAAATAAAATCTTTAAAAAAAAAAAAAAAAAGAAGTTCTGACACCAATAGGCCCGCGTCCCTGCCTGGCACCACTCGGCTGCAGCTAGGGAAGAGCTGCCGTGTTTAAATGGGGCATCGTGTGCTGTGCACTTGCTGCAGTCCTTACCCAGCCCAGCTGCTCCCTTATGAACCCCGTGGGCCGCTGGTAGAAGCGCCAGGCTGGGAATGACTTAGACCTCTGACCAGTCAAGGACAATGGGAACCCACAGCCTGAGAGAGGGTTACAAACATCCCTGTGACCAAGCTTAACATAATAATAACAGCAACGAGAGCTCTCATTTTTTCAAGCACTTACCATGTGCCAGGCACTTTGCTAAGTACTTTTATGTGCAGTAGCCATGAGCTCCTCACAGTACCTGCTAGACTGCCTTCCTCTTGCATTTATGCAGTGAAGGCTGCCCAGGGGGCCGGTTGAGAACTATTGTAAAGCCTGTATCCTCGATGGGGGTCACATTGCCCCCAAGGGGGCAAAAAATTTTATTCTTTTTATGTATAAAGCCAAGATATACATACAGCACATAAATAGATACATACTACCTCTGTGGCATTAAAATTTCATGGGAGAGGGATGGTTAGGGGGAAAAAATGTCTAAAAACGCTCCTTAGGTGGCAGCGATAATGAAAAAAAGTTGAGAAACTCAGTTGTAAAGGAACAAGTATCACAGATGCCCGGTTTTGAATCTATCCTTCCCCCGTTCCCCCATCATAATCACACATATACACAAATTTCCCAGGGGAAAAAAAATACAAGCCGTTCATTACAAGGGTTCAGGTTCATACCCGCCCTGGAGAGAGAGAAGCTGGAGAAACAGCCAGTCCTCCAGCCCCAGGCAGAGGCCTGTATCAGATAAGCCTTGAAAATATTGATCTAAGAAGTGCTTGCTTGCCTTTCAGATCCCCCAAGGATTAAACAACTGGCATAAGGACTACTTGATTCCCTTTCAGTTCCCCCCAGGGACTCCAGTGTGGGGAAACCACGCTGCTCCCTAATGAAGCCCAGCACTGACTCCAGTCCATAGCTGTGAGTCAGGCTGTGAGCTAGTTTGCATTAGGTTCTGAACCCAGGAGGGGATGGGTCCTGGGACGCTGCAATAATCACCTCAGGCCAGCTTGGGTTGCTGATCTTGGAAAGAGCATCTCCAGTCTTAATCTCCGAGTCAGTGCTACCCTAAAGTAAATTAGGCCGGAGAGTGATTAACCACTCCCATGCACACACCATAACAAGCCAACAGGAAAGCACTGTGCGGGAACCCGTTCCTGCTTCACGCGCACAAGTAGGGTTTAAATCAACTTCACAACATATGTGGCCACCTCTTTTCAGGGCATTTAAAGGGGAGATGCTTTGGGGAGACTTTCATCTGCAGCATCTGTTGGGCTGGATTCAGGCCGAATTTTTTTTGCTTTTAATCTACATAAAAGTTGCTAGCTATTCTTGATGAAGCAGTACTGAGGTTCAACTGGAAAAATGCAGATGCAAGAATAGTCAGGAAAATTTAGAACTCTTACAACTCAATAACAAAAAGACAAATAACCCAGTTTTTGAATGAGCAAAAAACTCAAATAGGCATTTCTCCAAAGAAGATATGCAAATGGCCAATAAGCACATTAAAAGGTGCTCAACATCATTAGTCATCAAGGAAATACAAAGAAAACCACAATGAGATATCACTTCACACCCAGCAGACTGGCTAGAATTTTTAAAAAACAAAACAAAAAAAACGGAAATAACAAGTCTTGGTCAGAGTGTTTAGAAATTGGAAACTTTATACATTGCTGGTAGAAATGTAAAATGGTGCAGCTGCTATGGAAAACAGTTTGGAGATTTCTCAGTAAGTTAAACAGAATTACCATATGAGCAATTCCACTCCTAGGTATATAACCAACAGAACTGAAAAAAGATGCTCAAACAAAAACTTGTACATGAATGTTCATAGCAGCATTATTTACAATAGCTAACAGGTGGAAACACCCCAAATGTCCACTGATGAATGGATAAACAAAATGTGGTATAGCCACACAATGGAATATTATTCAGCTGTGAAAAGGAATAAAGTACTCATACATGCCACAACATGGATGAACCTTGAAAACACTATACTAGGGCCGGCCCCGTGGCTTAGCAGTTAAGTGCGCGTGCTCCGCTGCTGGCAGCCCAGGTTGGGATCCTGGGCGCGCACTGATGCACCGCGTCTCCGGCCATGCTGAGGCTGCGTCCCACATACAGCAACTAGAAGGATGTGCAGCTATGACATACAACTATCTACTGGGGCTTTGGTGGAAAAAT